CTGGAGAGGAGTTGAGGAACCCAGCTGACAGCCAGAACTGACACTCCAGACGTATGAACCCAGGTGAGCCATCTGGGCCATGTCCAGTTGCTAGATCGACTCCAGCTGAGGCCCCAGTTGTCCTGGAGCAGGTATGAGTGGTTGCCACTGTGCTATGCCTGATTTCCTGACCCACAGAGCTGGAAGTATTATAAAATAGCTGTCGCTCTTAAAAATGCGATAGGGGCGCAGAAACCAGAAACAGAGATACAAAAAACAATAGAGAATACTGAAAAATAAGGAATAGTCAAAACATTTCTCAAATTGTGGTGGTTGGTACTCTCAATTCAACATTTTAATTCATTTATCTTTTCATTCAAGAAAAACATATTGAGACACCTGCAAAGCCAGACATTATACTTAGTGCTGGGGATACACAAGAAGGAGGAAGAGAAACAAGAGAAGGAGGGGGAAGGGGGGGAGGGAAATAGCTAGTTTATTGGGGGTAGGGGGTCAAACAAGTAAATAGTTGCCATACATGTATACAAGACTGCTCTGTAGTAAGGGTTTACATAAGGAACTGATTGCACCAAAGATGCAGAATCTCCCAGTCTTAAAGGAGACAGAGAAACACTGCAGAGGAAGCTGTGCTTGAGATAAGCCTCCAAGAACAAGTAGAAGTTTGCCAGATGGCCAAGGTAGGGCAGTGCTGACACTATAGCTGCAAAGAACAGGGAAGACTGAGTTTGGACAATGGCTTCAGATGCTCCTGTGGTCTTGGTTTTTCTTTGCCTTTCCTAAGCAAAGTATTGATTGTATAACCAGAGTGGGTTTTTTTTTTATAGGACTATTCTATTTTATCTGTGTGGAAAGTATGACTGAGAAGTAACAGCTCATGGGACATGTGGCATTACTAACCTTAGGCTCATCAAATGTGCACCCTACAGAAGCCTGGCTTGCTCAGCAGAAAGGCCAAGGCCTTAATACTCCTGCCCCCATGAAACTAAGTTGTTGGTTTGTTTTCAGAAGTGTGCTTTCTATTCAAATGTGACTCTTAAGACAGGTTTCCTGGCCTCTACATACACTCAGTTTGCTGTCCTAATCCCTTCTGATAGAAAAATTCTAGAGGTACTTCAGGGTGGATGCTATGCTATGAGGATAAAAACAGATTTGTTTTCACAGTAGGGCAATACAACCGTCATGAGGAAAAGATATGTCCTAAAATCTATGAGCATTGTTTCTAGGGAACAACCTTGTTTAAAAAGACTTTTTCAAGCATATCCCTGATGTCAAGTTCAATGAAGTTCCTCCAGCGTTTCTAACATCAGCTTGATTTGAGGAGGCTGCTGTCAAAAAGGCTCCTACAAGACACATGTTAAATCATTGCAAGAAAAATGGTTCTAATTTCAGTATGGCAACTTGGCCCAGGATTCCATTTTAAGAGTAAAAGTTGACACATCTCAAAAGGACCAAGATATCACACAAGTGGAAATACTGAAACATGAAAATGTTGGGGAGAAAAGGAGCATGGGCATGACTGGAGGGAAAAAAAACCCCAAAAAACTATTGAAAGCATTTAATGTGTTTATTTATACTCTGCCTTGTTCCAAAGTGGATTTGGCAGTGAGTTTATTTCCTGGGCAAGTGTAGAACGTATTTCTCTTATGAAACTAATTAAGTGCAGACATATGCTCTTATACTCTTTGGAATTGGGCGTAGAGCTGGCATCTGCTTAAAAAACCCAGAAGTCTCTGAACAGGGCACTTCCAGAAGAAAAAGATTCTTCCACCCCCCACGCGGAGGTGACCTGAGGAAGTATGGGCAGTGAGCTGAGAAAGGTTTTAGATTTCCTATAGCATATAGACAAATGGAACTGAAAGCAAATAAACCATTAAATGGCATAGGAGAGGAAAAGGCAAAAGGAAACTCCTAGTCTTGAAACTGCAGGCGCTTCTTAGAGCTTATCTCATAAAATGCCCTAAGGTTTGGAACTGTAATCACAATGGCTATTTGGGGCCAGAACTGACCTGTCCAATGAGCATTAATTGCCCGGATGGTATGGCAGACTAACACCCCCCCTTTTTTTGTTTATAGCATCATATTAAATACATTAACATTTTTATTAATCTCAACTGACTCACTTGGCAGAAAGAAATCTCCATGCTGCGAGAAGAGAGAAGGTGAGAGAATAGTTCAGAAGGCATGGAAAAGAGATAGGTGCAAGAGGCACTGGACAGCTTACTAAAATATGAGAACCAGCACCACCGAATGCCACACTTGCCAAAAAATCCTGATTATAATTTTCTGAAGTTGAGAATGAGAGAAGTTGTGCCACATCAAATCAGGTAAAGTAATTCTTGGCATTTTTGTTCACATATGACTTTCACCATATGTGATAATGATAGACTCTGCCTAGAAAAAAAATGTACCCATCACTTGCACACAAAATCCTACTCTATAAGAACCTCTAGTTTTAATGCTCAAGCTGGAACCCTATTAGTCACAACACACATATAATATATAATCCTGATTGCTTGACTGCCATAAAATCTTTCTGTGTCTAACCTGGTTTCATTCTATAGCTTAAGCCTGTCTCTACTTTTTCTGTCCTCTTACTTTAAGAAAAGGTCATTTCAGAAGTGCTTGTACAGTTTTTCATATATGCTTTCAACAGGCTATGAAATTTTATCACAATTATTCTTGAAGTTGAAACGTCCCTAATCTTTCTTCACAGGTTGTGGCATAGAGTGTTAGTTACCTTCTAATATCCAATATTTTCCCTTCTGCATTAGTTACGATCACATTTTTTGAGTCTCTTTTAGCTAGGTGTGGCCATGTGACTAAGCTCTAGGTCAGTAATATGTAAGCACTGTGCTATGTGGATCTTCTGAAAAATCTCCCTTTCCTTCCTCCACCCTGCTCTCTGGAATAAAGATACAATGGTTGGAGAGCAATAACCATCCTGGGCCATGAGTTTGAGTTGTGATGGGTAACACTGTCTGTTGACCCTTGTATTAGAAGATAAATTTCATGAGAACAAGCACCTTGTTTATGTTGGTCAAAGCAACATCCTCAGCACCTAAAAAATGTGTGACATATATGGTAAGGGCTCAGGTACTGAACGGATATTGAATGAGTAAAATGGATGGATGAATGAATAAGTTTACTCCAGACCCAGGTAAAACACTGATCATAATGTCCTCCCAGGGATATTTAGCCATCCGTGGGCAAATGCAAGGTCTCCTTTTCTATCACAGTATCAAACTCTTGCTTAATTCAAATCACATTACTCCTATTAGCTTCCCTTTACTCTCCCAGACCTGCCACTGTTACAGAACCCTAGCAGCTATTTTTGCCTCTCTTCTTTTCTCCCTCCATATCTAGTCACCAAGTACTTCTATTCTGCCTCCCAAAAGGTCTCAAATCCTTCCCCTCCATTCCAGTCACTGTCTTTAGTCTAAACCCTCATTTCTCCCCTAGATGAATATAAAGTGTCTTCACTAGTCTTGTTTATGTCCTTCTATCTGCCTTATTGTCCAGAGTGACCTCACTACAAACCATCTGATAGTGACTCAACGTCACATCATTCAATTGGTGTATGTTTCTAGGATAAAATTCAAACTCTTTACCTTAACATCTACTTTAGGACCAAACAGATCTAGGTTTTAGTCCCAGTTTTAAGTACTTTTTAACAGTGAGACCTCAAACAATTGGACTCTGTAAGCCTTTGTTTTCTCATTTGCCTGAGCTCAGGTGTGTTTCACACACAGAGTGCCTGGCACTCTGGAGAGACTTATTGTTGGATGAAGGGAAAATATTTTAAAATCCCCATCAAAAAACTGTTCTTCCTTAAAAAAAAAAATCCTGACACGTCACTACTTCCCAAGTTTTACTTCTACCTCTACTTTCTGATAATCACGATAAAGTGCCTGTGGAGATATCCACACAGTCTAGGATCAAATCCGGGCCCCACCCCTGAGCAATCATGCGACCTTGGGAGCGTTACTTAACTATTGCGTTTCTATTTCTTCTGTAAAAATGTGTAAAATGAGGATTGTTTTGAATGGTTAAATGAATACCTCGCTTGGAACGGGGTCGGGCGCATAGTGAGGGCTTGCCTAATGTTAACTATCATTATTATCATTTTCATCACATCAGGATCGTAGTACTCTACTTCGTGGTTCTCAATTTTGTATGACAAAATCGCGCTTTTTACATTGTTGTTGGCAAAAAAAAAGTAAAATCTGGCAACTCCTGCCGTGGACGGCAGACACAGGCGAGAAAAGCGAATCGGTGAACCCGTGCGTTTCCAAGTTGGGAGAGACGCGTTTGGTCCCTATTTAACGATGAGGAAGTGGAGGGGTGACGTGTCCTCCAGTCCCATTTAAGACTCACAGTCACAGCTCTTTGATTGAGAGCAGGACGAGGGTCCCGGTGGTTGGTCAAGTTACAGGCGAAACCTAGCACTTTTTGGAAGGCAGGAGAGGAGCATTTAGTTACAAAAACGCTTAACAATTCGGGTGTAACTAAGTTCAGTGAGCAATACATCAAATGAGTCAGCTGTCAGACCCGGTGAATCCGAGTTGCTCAAGAACCCAGCTCTTTACTAACAGGGGTTTTCTGCAAAGCCCACTGAAGGAGAACCACTTGCAGTAACAAACGCCCGCTGCGCTTCCCGTAGGACCGGAAAGCTCCGGGCCGCGCGCGATGAATGGAAGCGGAGTCTGGGGCGCGCCGCTCGGGGGGCGGGGCGGGGGTGGGGCATTGTGAGTCACGTGCCAAGGCTGCGAGGCGGGCGCGTGGAGGGAGCTCTGGGCGTGATTGGTCCCCTGTAACCAGGTGACCGCAGGCCGCGTTCCGGTTGGCAGGTGCCAGCCCGGAGAACTGCCTTCATTCCAGAGGCGGCTGCGGAAGGAGGAGGAGCTCCGGCTGCGTTCTCTCCCCGCAGTGGCTACAGTTCTCAGCGCCTGTCGGGTCCCCACCCCTTTTAAATAAGCCGGGCTGGTCGCCGCCCTCATAGACTAGTCAGCTCGGGGGAGGCGGTAACGGCGCGGTGGTGGGGGTGCGGCCGGGCCCGGAGCCCTGCCCGGGGCCCGGCGGCCCGGCGGACGGGCGAGCAGCGGGCGAGGCCTTGCGTGGCGTAGCCCGGGCTTAGCCCGGGCTACCCGTACCGGCCGCGCCATTGTTGGGGGAGGGGGTACTGCCGAGCGCGGCAGTGGACTAGCGAAGGCGTCGCCAGCGGCGAGGAGTGGAAGCGCCCCATGGGGAACACGCTGACCTGTTGCTTGTCCCCGAATGCCAGCCCCAAGCGGGGCCGGCGCTCGGGGTCGGCGGAGCCGGACTATGAGTCTGAGGTGTATGAGGCGGCGGCCGGGGACGCCGTGGCAGTAGCACCGGCGCCTGCTGCCCTGGAGCCCGCCGAGTTGGATTTCGGAGCCGGCGAGGGCCACCACCTGCAGCACATCAGCGACCGGGAGATGCCCGAAGGTGAGGAGGTTGGCGGGCGCCGTCCGCTCTCGGGCGGACCTCCGGCAGCCGCCGCCCCTAGGGTCCCTCGGGAGGGAGCCGCCGCTTCAGGCTCCTTCCTGCCCGGAGCCGGCTTTCCCAGGGCTAGGCACCGGGGACGGAGGCTGGCTCTGCCTGGCGTCCCCACCCCTTGTCCTTTCCCCGTCGCGGCCGGCCAGTTTCTTTCCCTCGTCGCTACCTGAACGCCCGGCTCTTCCCCCTATCCCCATTTCCCACCCCCGGCCTGAGACCCTCCAGTCCTCGGCCCTCCCTGTTTTTGGCTCCTTTGAACGTTTCTTGGGACTGTATAAAGACTTGTGGGCATATTCTCTCCGTGTTCTCAATGAAAACTTGAATACCCCCCAACTTCGGAGTAGCCATCCCATCTCCCTACCCTTACCCATGTAAAACCCTTGCTCCCACCCGTTGCGGTAGTTGGTATTCGGGACAATTCAAACGCAGACAACTTAGGGTTTGTTATTTAAATGCAAAATAGAAATTGACATAGGCGAGTCTATAGGGTGTTCTTAAGTAGGCTCTTTCCAGCTGCCTGCATAGAAGCTGCTTTTATTCCTTCCCACTATAATTGGAACACAGAAGGAAAGAAAATGGTGGGAGAGGGAACTTAAAATAACTGAACGATGTGAGATGTGACTGCCAGAGCTGCAGAGGATCGTTTTTTCGCCAAAGGGAGAGCCCACGAGCCTGATGACTTTAAAAGTCCCACTTGGACACAACACAAGTATGTCTTCAGCCTTACTCCCGTGACTTAACAACTTCACTTTCCCGCTGCCTGTTCTAAAGGAGAGGTGGGGGTGGTTCGTGAGACTTGATCAAACGTTTCAAAAGATAAAAACTATATACGTTTAGACTTGAACTTGTAGTATAAAGGTTTGGGAGTTAAAATGCCAGATCGCGCTCCAGAATGTTTGTCTCCATGGCTCCCCCTCCTGCTACTAGAATCCTGTTCTACTTTACGAATGTTGAGGTGAAAGTTATTCAGACCTAACGGCTGGGGTGGGGGGCAGAGGGAGAAAAGAGGAAATGTTTGATTTAAAATGATTGTGGGTAACAGCGGGGCTAATGAAGACTGGGTCCTTTGAAGGACAAAACATTGTATCAAAGATGTTAAGGTCCCGTTGGTCCATTTGTTTCATTTAAACGCCAGAGATTATTTCATCATTTCGTAGAGGAAATGTCTTACAGCTCTTATTCTATTTAAACTTTAGTTGAGCTTTTAATTTCTTTAAAAGTTGGAATAGTTAAGGCTATGGATTCGCTCAGATAATGGATGTGGCTTTGTAACTGGGAAGTACACCCTTTGGAATATTCAAATCTTGTGGAAAAAATGAATAAATTCTGTTAATTAACTAAGTGTACCTTTAAACACCAAGGAATCATACCTTTAAACACAAAGCAAGTATTTGAGAAAACTTCTGCTCTGCTTGATGTTGTAAGGTAAGCCTTTGATTGATTTTACAAATCAGTTAGTAGATGGGTAGTGTTGGATGAGAGACCAAAATAAGACCTTTATATAATTCTTTTAAAATTTACAACATATTTTCAGTATATCTCATTTGGCCCGCTAACTACAAATAAGGCCTGTGGGTAGTCTCCCTATGTTGCTGGTGAAGAAAAGGAGACGTAGAGATCTGAAATGACTGCATAGTACAGCTACTGAACAGAAGAGGCTGACATGGAGGATGGTAGATATGCCAAATTTAGTTCCTGGGTTACTTAAAAAGCTCTTTAGAATGCATCTTATGTTTTATAATTTATCCATGAAGTACGCCTGTCCTAACTTCCTCTAGTCTTGATTATTTCCATTCAAAGCTATTGTACATAACTCAGAAGCAACATTTACCTCTCTATCCTATGTCTATAAATTTATTATGATGGATAAGAGTAAAAGTAGAAGTCGTGAAATAGCATACATTTACTAGGTAAACAAATTCATATATTTAAAGTTTGTCCTGATGACCTTGAATTGAAGCTGAGACTACCCTGGACAGAGGGACTTTAGGAGAAGCTGGTAAGAGGCAGGTAAGGGAACAAGGATTAAGCACAGGACTATAAGTAGTGTTAAATCTGAAAAGTTGAAAAAAAATAGATTTCACGGGTACAGAATTTACCTTTATATGTTTAACATGATTAAAATTTCATTTCAATTTGTCTTTATTTTTTTGCATTCAATAAAGTGATACAAGAAACCTCAATTTCAGCGTTTGCCTAGTACTAAGTTTCCATAGAAACAAGGTCAGAACACCAAATATAAAGTACAAGCATATGAAAGTTTGCTTTAAATGTCTTTATTTCAGACAATTTTATATTAGTTTCCCTGGAAACTAAGAAAGACCTACTTACATGTAAAACATTTTGGCTTTTCTACAATGGAGAATTGAATTATTTTGGTTATTTACAAAAAAATCATACATGAATGATAACCTGCCTTGTTCTTCTGAAACAAAACATGATTTCTTCAAGCCATTTCAAAGAGATATTCCTAAGAACCTAATATAGAATTCATATAGACTTAAAAGAAAATTTTTCTACTCCTTGCTTTATCTAACAGTATATCTAATACATATACTTTAGATATACTTTATCTAACAGTATATCTAATACAACTGATGGTAGTATCAGTGACAAAAAAAAAGACACAAAGGTCCTGTTACCCAGTTTTATTCATCAACTTTTCATACAGCCTTTTATATTCTGACCTTATGAACTTCGCTAATTTGCTGACTAAAGGTGCTCTCTCAAGTGACCCCTTCCTCCCTTCCCTTTGAGGAGTGAGTAGGGAAAGAATTGGCAATATTCTGTGGAAAAACTTCTGATGAACAGATTTTTCCTTTCCAGTAGCTATTTTAATCCCCCCCTTTTTTTTTGCTTTTGTTGGTGACAATACTAATAAACATTTGATGTAAAAGACTTAGAAAATACAGAAAAGCCATTCACTTATGCTCAGAATATCCAGAACTTTTATTAATATTCTGGTGTTGACTATCTTTTGTATGCATATAAACATATTTTGTTTATTTTATGAAAATGAGGCCATTATGTGCTGCTTTATTTTTTTATTTTATTTTTTTAGCTGAGCCATCCTGCCACCTGTTGGCAGCTGAGTGGCTGCTCAGCTCAGGCTGGGACACGAACCGCTGTTGCTCAGAGCTCAAACTCTCGAGCGAGTTCTTAACCAACTGAGCCACTCAGCCGGCCCCATTATGTGCTGCTTTATAACTTTTTGTTATAAAGAGAAGTAATGATATACAGCTCCTTGAACTGTGCTTGACACCTAGAGAGTGCTCCCAGATGTAATTTCCATGCAACTGCGTGGAGCCCTACAGCATGCCTTTTAATAATTGTTTAGTATACCATCAAATGTTGGCACATCATTCATTTACCCACCCTTTACAGTTGAGCATATTTTAAAGTGAAACTGTGCACAATCCCATTTTAATGCTTTCTTCTAGGGACACAGATAAAAATGCATTGTGCCTTCCTGTAGATCAGGTTGTATACTTTCTTATAACCTAATTAGAATGTTATTTTGTTAAGGTATTAGTTAAGGTATTTTTAAGGTATTTTAACATTAATTGTTCTTATCTCAAATTAAAGTTACCATTGGTTTTTGACTGGACAGTAGAACTCCTCTTTTGGGTTTTTGTGGTTCTTGGTAGCCTGTCTCATGTCTTTAATTCTAAATACTACTCTAAGAGATCAGCAAGTAATGCTGGTCTTTGATAACAAATCAAAAGACAGCATTAGATGAAAGCTTAGAAGATATGGGAAAATTGGGAGAAACTTAACTGGTTTGGGGTACGCTGAAACAGTTAGATGTTTATTGGGTACCATTCCAAATGCAGGACAAGAAAAAGCCCCTACCCTAACTCAGGTCTTTACATTTTAGAGGAGCCTAGGGTCAGACAACACGTGAACAATCAAGAAAGTCAGGTAGTAATGTGCTGGGAAGCAGGGGAAAAGAGGGTAATGGACTGGGGAGGAGGACAGCTTTACATGGTTTAGTGGTTAAAGACAGCTGCTCTAAGTGACACTGAGCAGTCCTAAAAATGAGAGGGAGCCATGTGAGGATGTGGGAGAAAAGGCTTCCATGCAAAGTTCCTCAGAAGGAATACACTAAGTGCAGGCAAAGGACAGAAACATGGGGATGTCTGCAGCAGAGTGAAAGGAATGCCAGGAGGAGTGTGGTGGGTTACGGCCTTTATGCCTAGTGGGCCTTGACAAAAAAATATGAGTTTTAGTCTAGTTGTAATGGGAAACCATTGTAGGATTATATGCAAGGAAGGCAGGAGAGAGGGAAAGGAAGGAAGAAAGGAAAGAGAGAGAAAAAGAAGCTACTGTGTGAGAATAGACTGTGATGCCTGCAAGGGGGGAAACAGGGAGACCTGGTAGACTGCTGGTGCAGCAGTTCAGGAGAAAGACAACAGTGGCTTGAAGAAAAAAAACAAAGGCCTAAAATAGGCTGACTTAAAGAAATTAAGTGAATCTAAAAGTATTAACAAAGATATGGATAGACAAATCACAGAAAAAGAAATGCAGATTGTTTAATCATGTCTTCACACACAAAAGAAATGTAAATTAAACTATACTGTAGTTTCCTATTGGAAGAAAATCCATAAACATGACACTGCATTCTTTGGTGAGGCGGTGAAGAAACGGTTACCTTTGTATATTGCTGATGGAAATGCAAAATGGTTTGACTCCATGAAGGGGACATTGGCATGATCTTACAAAAATGCAGATGTATTAATCAAGAAATCCTACTTCGAGGAATTCATCCCAAAGACATACCCCACAAACATGAAACCACATATTCACAAAGTTTTTGTTGCATTATTTTCTAAAGAAAAATATTGGAAATAACTCATGTCCAGTAAGGGACTGGTAAAATAAACTGATACATCCACACAGTGGAGAATGATGGAGCTGTAAAACAGAATAAGATATCTCTTTAGTGCTGT